CCAGAAATGTTTAGAATGGAAAATCAAATTATAGCTCCACATTAGATCTTAATTTTATTAAGACCCCTTTTTCCAAAACAATCTTGAGTGTACAAATGAAGTCTAGTACTCAGCATTTTTTTTAAAAAGACTGATTAATTACATTGCAACTGCAGCTGCAGTTCTATGTTCTTACAGGTCCTTTAAATACACCGTTTGCTGATTTAGACCACTGAGAGGGTCTTTATCAGTTAAARTGAGTTGGTGGAATTCTTTGGGATCCAGTTCTGCAGAGGCAAGAATGCAGCTTCAGTGCAACTGTTTCCATGCTTCCAGCGGAGCATGTACTTTGAAATTGTTGTTTTTTTAGTATCAGGGGAACAAGCCTGCAGAGGCTGGGTAAGGTGGCTGCAACACAGCAGTTCATGTGCTTTCTGCAGAGCATGGAATCCTGTTTCAGTTCTGTTTTAGTATCGTTTCATCTTCACTTAATGAAAAGAACAATACAGACCAAAAATACTCGAAGTATCTGAATAGCAAGTTGGATTTATGTTGTTAAGGACAAGTTAAGGACTTTTAGAATCCTGCAAGAAATTCCTGAGTAAATTGTTACGACAAACTAGCTGAACACCTATTTGTCCAGAAACGTGGACAAAACTGTTGGTAGCTCTCGTTTAATGAAAGAAAAACCCACAGTGGTCACAGAAATAACTAGAATCTGACAAAAGTAATAATAAAAAAAATCTATGAAAATTAATGAATGAAAGTCAGACGTTGCTTTTCAGCCAGGCTTTAACAGAATTTTAAAATAAAACTCATAAACAGACCTGGACAGAAATGATGGAACCCCTGAAAACTAGACACCACATAGCTGTAACATAATGACCCCCACACGCACAAGTGCACCAGAACTCAGAAGTCTTCATTCCTAATAAATGTCATGCTACTAGGTGCATCCCAAAATTGTAGTGGTTTGGGTGGGGTTCTTTTTTTGGGTGGGGGGGTTTTGGTTGACCTGATAGCCCCTCATCAGAGCTAAAGAAAAAAGAAATCTGAAGCTTCTATGTTGAACAGTTTCTGAGTTATAAGCATTTTTGCATGTCCAGACACCCCCTCTTTGAAAGGAGCCCCCTCCTCAAATATGGGGTCTACTGTAAAACCGTTGGCTGGCGCAGTGTAGGTCAGACTCATCTACAGTCCTGCCAAATTTCATGRTGACCGGTGCAGCTGTTTTTGTGGTACAGTTGACCAAAAATCAGTAACGAAAACAATATGACTCCCACTGACACTTCGTGTGCGGTGGTCATAATAARGTGACCAAAGGGTCATGTGAAATCAAGGTGTGTCCAGTAATTATCATCGCAGGTGTCTACAGTCTTGTAATCAGTCAGTGGACCTGTAGGCCTTCTCTCTATCTGGCAGTGGCGGATCTAGGATTTTTCTGAATAAGGGGCCATAAAGGGGCCACAATATTCTTAGAGGGGCCAAGTATTTATTTAACATCTTTGCACACAAATCTCTGATTTTGATAAGATGTATACATTTAACTAGTCGCACATGTTCAAACACTTGTAATGCAATTTAAAAAATCTTGCATGTATATTCTCCTTACAAGTTTTACATGTATTTTTACTGTACATAGATAAAAAAAAACCTCAAACATACAGCATCTGACTCATTAGCTCCTCTAGTGTTTGAACGTGGAACTGCACCTGCCATCATTACTCTTGTGCAAAGGACAGATGAGTGACAGGACAGGGCCACCTCAGGGGGCCAATCAGATTTCAGCTGGGGCCACTGCCCCTGTGGCCCCGCCCCTAGAACAGCCCCTGCTATCTGGTCAAGGATGTGTCTTGTAAACATTTGGTCTAATATTTAAATTAGAGAAACAGACACCTCCCATRCCCACCCAAAATAGGAGTATTCTTCATTTTAACTGTGTAAAATAAAACAAACAGGTATTTGAATTTGATTTGAAGTTATAATTCTGCAATACTCCAGATTAACAAAGTTAAAAAGGAAAAAGTTAGACAATGTACATCTTAACGTCCTTACTTTAAAAATCCATTGAGGGTTKAAACTGCCAGCTGTACGTGGGAACAGTGCACCAGGTAGTTCCACTCTGAGACCTCAGATCAAAACATCCWGTGTCAGAAACTCCATTCACTGTTAACGTGTAAACAAAAGGCTGGACCACAACTAAAKTGTCATTGTWTCACTGAAAACAGCTCTGTATAAATGGTCCTTGGTCACAWAGTTTACATGTAGTTGGCACACTGTGGTGGTGTAATCTTCACTTTTTAACAGTGGTGGGCAGCACTAATCCAAATATTAGTRCTGCAATTTCTAAAGCACTTATGAAAATATTTAGGTCCACAACTTCAAAAYCRCTTATGCCATAGAAAAACGAACAGATGCTAATTTTAAAGCACAAGTTCAATTTGACACTTATTGTACTAGCTGGCAACAATTCATGTACAATATACACACATTACTGCCAACTAGTGGTGTATGAACTCTTTTACAACTTAATTCTATAACAGCCGATTACTGGGGATGTGATTTCCTGAAACAGACCTTTA